GCCTGATCTTTGTAAGCAGAAGAAACATGTAGTTGCGTTAAAATTGTTTTCGTAGGTGCACAGCATGATTGTTTGTCTCACTACACAGTTTTAGCGCAATAATAATAATAATAATAATAATAATTTGAAACTCGGATGTTGAGCCATAAATAAATGTGGAAGAGAAAAAGACATATGGATACGAGTTAAGAGTAACTCTCCATCACTGTAACATGATACTATATACAGTCAGAAAGTGCAATAACTAGGCACAAAACTGACAGAGTACTGAAACATTCGACGTCCTGACACCTAGCTTCAACACATCTCCGTAGCGCTAACCGACAGCCTTCCAACTTGGAAGGTTCAAGGTTATGGAAAGACCAAAGAGGGGAAGGCAAGCGCAACGAAAACGAGCAAAAGCTACAGTCCCAACGGAACAAAGAATGTCGATTGTTACTGGACGATGACGAGACCAGTACGACATTGCCTTCCCCTCTTTGGTCTTTCCATAACCTTCCATAACCTTGAACCTTCCAAGTTGGAAGGCTGTCGGTTAGCGCTACGGAGATGTGTTGAAGCTAGGTGTCAGGACGTCGAACAGTACTCTGTCAGTTTTGTGCCTAGTTATTGCACTTTCTGACTGTATATAGTATCATGTTACAGTGATGGAAAGTTACTCTTAACTCGTATCCATATGTCTTTTTCTCTTCCACAATAATAATAATAATAATAATAATAATAATAATAATAATAATAATATTGACTGGTTTGAGGGAAAGAGACAAACGGGAAAAGTCTGAAGAAAAAATTGACTGTCACCACCAGGACTCGAACCAGGGACCCTCGCTTGTAGCCAGCGATGCTCTAACCACTGAGCTATGGTGTAGTCGTCATCCCAGCAGAGGCCGTTCAACATTTTCTTCAGACTTCGTATAATAATAATAATAATAATAATAATAATAATAATAATAATAATAATAACTTTATTAGGATGACCCAAAGGCTGACCGCCTATCGTGGGTGAGGCAGGCTTGTACTAAACTATGATATCATTGCATTTCAGTTCTTTTTCTGGAATTCACGACCACTGTAATCACACACTATTGAGGCAAATACACTGGAATCAATTACAAGAGACGATCTTTTCTTCGAACATTTCTGCAAACAGTGTGTAAAACGAGTCCAATAACCTAACATCATTTTGACATAACACTATGATACTGTAGGGGTGAAACGAGCATCTATTTTGACCAATCGATCACTCATTCATAATATTCGATCGAGTATCCGATTATTTCGAGTATTTTATCAAAATTCAAAAGCGCTAGATTTGTGAGTTCTCGACTAATTCGGAAGAAATTATCTGTGAACATAGAACAAAAGTCGCCAATGTCTTGTACAGAATGTAAAGCAACGATTTTCATTAGTACTTTTATATCTCAGAACGTTAACTATTAAAGGGGAATTTAACCTTAATTAAAATTAGGGGTGAAACAATTATACCGAATATTCGAATACTCGTTTGGATTTTTCGAATATAATCGTACTCGGAATAAATCAGAGTACTCGCTCATACATGGTACATACATTTACCACAGAAGTCTGCAGTTTCAGAGCAGCAGTCAGCAGATATTGATGTGCAGACTGTGTGGTGAACATTTGTTCACAAGTAGAGAGAGCCCAAATGACCCACCAACCAATACACCCGAGAAAAGAACTGCCAATCGGTTCAATCAGGGTTGTATCATGTGATTTTTGAGGCGGTTGGTGTACGATTTTTAGGATATCAAGAATACTTGAATACTCGAATATTCGATCGGAGAAAATCAGAGTACTCGAACTCGGGATCTCAGTGCCAACTTTCACCCCTAATTAAAATTAAAACTTCACCAGTTGTAGTCTTCGGGGTGCTGAGTCGAATGGTCTTGGTCCGAGAAAGCTGAGACGCTCCCTTCCTACTTGAATCCCAATCGAACTCGCGCACTTCCACCGAAACTGGGTGACTGCGCCCTACTAGATGGGGATTTGTATGCAAATTGTCACTAAAAGCGCCATTTCGTTCTTATGAAAGCACGGATGACCGAGATTGGCCCATATGTTGTAGTCTTTTGGATGCTGAGTCGACTGGTTTTGGTCCGAAAAGGCTGCGACGCAGCGTTCCTCCTTTATTCCCAATCGAACATGGTTGAACAAGTGGTCACGTGCTCCTGGGTGCCCAAATCACCTGGTCACCACGCCAGCAGGCGACAACTTTCACACCAAGGTTCAACTCGAGTTCAACTCGAGTGACAGGACTGCACCCCAAAAAGGTCAAACAGGCTAGTAAGTTGTACCGTGCAGGCACGGTGACCAGGTGACTGGTGTACGCAGGAGCACGTGACCGCTTGTTCAACCATGTTCGATTGGGACTAGAGGAGGAACGCTGCATCGCAGCCTTTTCGGACCAAAACCAGTCGACTCAGCGTCCAAAAGACTACAACATATGGGCCAATCTCGGTCATCCGTGCTTTTATAAAATCGAAATGGCGCTTTTAGTGACATTTTGCATACAAATCCCCATCTAGTAGGGCGCAGTCACCCAGTTTCGGTGGAAGTGCGCGAGTTCGATTGGGATTCAAGTAGGAAGGGAGCGTCTCAGCTTTCTCGGACCAAGACCATTCGACTCAGCACCCCGAAGACTACAACTGGTGAAATTTTTGCCTTAACTTCCCCTTTATTAAACGTTACTTGCCGTGGTGATCGCATCGTCCCAGTCATAAAATACTGACTCAAAGGCATGCATAATTATAATGCATGCATACCAGTGGATGAGCGGTACAACCAAAGTTTTTGAAAATAGAATGCCAATACTAAAAAAACAAAAAAACAAAAAAACGATCGAGTGGAAAATTTCGAATACTCGCTCGTTGAAATTTTCGAACGAATACTCGAATATTCGAACTAATCGTTTCACCCCTATGATACTGACATAGTGCGATGCAGATAGCAAGAAAAACTCAATCATTTTCGGGCCAATTTTGCAAAATTTAAAATTAAAAGCATTTTGGCACCATATCGAACTGGGGCTCGGAATACCAGTTTCGTCTCCTCACACAGAAGCCTGTACCGTAAAGTCCGCTGCAAACGCCCACCCCATTTTTGCAAGATCTGCTGGCCTGTACACACTGACCCCATGCACTGTCACCCCTACTGTACGAAAGTGCATCTCACACTGTAGCGGGAAGAGCACTTTGCTACGATAAACTATGTCCACTTTCCTGGTTTCAAAATATCTTTGGGCACTAGCCACGAGCTAGCTCGTAGTGATTTTATAATGATTGTTGTTTTATTACGCAAATCCGAACGGGTTTTCTTCCGAAAAAACAAGGTAGAGAAGAACAGAGTATTGAAGGAACCAAAATTCTGACGGTGTTTCAAGCCAACATTTCGAGATCACACAACGCCCAAAGGCAAGTGTTTTTCTTGGGCACTTCAAAGTTTTCAACAAGTTAGCAGCGACTTTGTAGTGTAGCTTCTGTGACATACCCTGTTCGACTTGCAACTGCAATATTGGGACCAGTCAAGTCGTTGACTGACGCTTCATCAGAACAATTGCTGTTCCTGACAGCGCGACATCGTGGCACTGCACAACTTTCTAGGGCATTACTCGTACCACATAGAGAACGAACTACCACAAAGACGACACATTTATCGAATGAAAGGAAATCTCGACAGAAGTTATTTCTTTGCAGGAAGATAATCGCTTTTGCACAGCCTCCTGGTAGGACATAGGCAGTTTGTAGGCATTACAGTCGTTCTCGTACGCATTCGACCTTCATGCCAGTTGTTTACAACTATATTGACCTGAAAAAGACGAAAATAGTATGGACCCGCTGGGCCCATGGGGTGGGCGTTTGCTGCGAAGTGGGCGTTTGCTCCGGACTTTCAACCAGTGACCCTAGTATATTTATTTTCTCATCCTGGACACCCCCAGTAGCATTGCAAAAAAGGTGTCAAACTAGTGAATTTTCGGAAAACGTATTTCGGCATGAGCTACCTTAAAAAGAGTTCACGGTCCGCATGTAAGCTGTCTCCTTGTGAGAAGGCACCATAGGGCTTGAAAGTGCTACGTCACAGCATAGCAACAATTTCAAAAATTCAAAAACTGGATCCACTTGGATCCAGTTTTTGTATGGATCCAAGCACATTTCAAGCTGTCTTACTCACAGCAAGGTGATGTACTGTAAGACATGTTATTATAACGAGTCGCAAATTTAACGATTGTCCAAAATTCATAGGTTAACGAGAAGACATGATAACGATCTGGCAGTATTTCGGCATATCCACACACGACATATATGAAGCAGTATGGCCTCAACGGATCTTATTATAACGAAGAAATGTCATCCGTTAAAACGTTAGATTTACTTCCTCGTTATATATACATGTCTTACAGTAGCCAGTGAAACTGACTGATTTGGCTACTGGGGGCGGGGTGACAACTGGTGGCGAAGTAAAAGTCACACCAGTATACGACATGAGTGGGTTGCTATGCACTCACATACTGAGGCAATAGCGAAGTCATACCTTAGTGGATACAAAAATAGAAATCTGATGTTAACTTACTACTCCCTGGCCGTTTTTGACGTCATCACTTTCAAGCCCTATTGCCTGTTTGGTTGAATGACTATAAATAACAACGACAACGACAACGACAACGCAACGACAACGACAACGACAACAACAACAACAACAACAACAACAACAACAACAACAACAACAACAACAACAACAACAACAACAACAACAACAACAACAACAACAACAACAACAACAACAACAACATCTCTTATTGGCCACTGGCTATCGTGAGAATAACGATTTGAAACAACAACAACAACAACAACAACTCTTATTGGCGATGGTGCCATCGTGAGAATAAAGAATTTAAAAAAACAACATCAACAACAACAACAACAACAACAACAACAACAACAACAACTATCGCCCAGTGTCGCTTGTTGTAATTCAACGTTCTGCACACGATAGGAACTAAGGCACTCACAAAACACAACGGGTAATAGGTTTATCCATTACTTTACCATAGTATAGTAGAAGACTGGAGAGTCCTTAGACTCGAGCGGAATGAATGAAAATGATAGCAAGCTCAGGTTATATGCGCTCCAAGCGTTTGGTGCAACCGGATGCAAAGTTAGCGTACAGCGCATGCGGACTTTAGATCTCTAGATGTACGCTACAGAGTGGCGTGCAGTTTTAGAGCAGCGAGCACAATTTTATTCTAGAGATGTACACAGAGCGCATGCGTCAAATTCAGTTTGGGAAAGGTTGCGTGTGAGCAACATGCAAATAAATTATGGGCGAAGACTTTGTAAACAACAGCCTTCGCTTGCAGCAGGAAGATAACTAATGTTTGTAAACATGAAGTATTATCATACCTTGCAAGAAAGGTGTCTCGGAGTGACCTAGACCTGGAGAAGTCAGGTACGTGATTTATGTATTTGCACAACATATTACTATCGTGAATATTTGAAGTATGCTCGAGAATTATTGAAATGTCTAACTATAACATTCCCTTCCCCTTCACAAAATAAAATGAAGCCTGAAAGTAAAGACGAAATCTATAAACATGAGCCGGAAACCCCGTCCAGTTACTTGCCGAAAGACGGGTTCTCAATTAAGCGCTCTGGTGGTCTAGAGATCCGAGTAGAACGTCGCAAAGAGACTGCTGGACTGGGTGTGTCTGGTTCAGAATCTATTGCTGTGCTTGCATCTGCAGACTCATTGTAGGTAACAGTACTAGAAGCGGGAAACGTAGCAGCTGTAACAGTAGGAGCGTTCTCAGAGCTATCCTCTGGAGTAATCAAATTATCAGGTATGGAGGGCAATGGACACTTACGAGCCGAATCAGCACTGTCGGATGTATCACCGGCGGGATCTCGTAACCGTAAATGCTCAATATGGACATGACGGATGGTGGTACCACTCTCAACAGAGTAGGTCAGTGGTCCCAGTCTGGCTGCAATAACCGCTGGTGTCCATTTGTCATGGCGAACATCCTTGACCCAGACGCTGTCACCTGGCAGAAAAGCTCGCATAGCTGGCGCAGAGTCTTGCTTGGCCTGCATGTGCGTTGCAAAACTAGGATAGAGAAATGAGAAACGTGTGACGGGGACGAACTTCATAATTATGCTAGCTGGTGACGCGTGAGAGACAGAATGTGGTGTGTTTCTATACGAAAACAGGAATTGCGAAACAGCATCTTGAGGAGAATCATCTGATTTTGCAAGATGTTTCTTAAGTTCTTGTACTAGACGCTCCACCTGTCCATTGCTAGCAGGATGGTACGGAGGGGTTCTTTTATGCCGAATACCATTTTTCTGACAAAAGGTGGCAAATTCCATGGACGTAAACTGCGGACCATTGTCCGATACTAACATCAGCGGGATTCCGCAATAGCTAATGAACCGTTTCAAGCATGATAATGTCCGCTCAGTAGTAGTAGATTTGCCCATAACAAATACATCTGCCCACTTGGAGTACGCATCAATTATTAACAAGTAGTGCTGACCTTTGTATTCAGCGAAATCAAGATGAACCCTCTCAAATGGCCGGTTCGGGTAGACCCAGTGGTGAATGGGTGCCTTCGTTGGTGCTCGAGCCTGCTGTTGGCATAGACGACAATTCGCAGCAAGTTCAACTATGTCTTGGTCTAAGTGAGGCCACCAGAAGAAGGATCTAGCCACAGCTTTCATGCGAGATACGCCAAGATGATCAACATGCAACTCATGCAACAGACTGGAACGAAATACCAAGGGAATCACAACCCGCAAACCCCAGGTGATACATCCCTGCTCAACAGATAGCTGGTCTCGAATACGATAGTACGAGGAAAGACTGTCTGGGACACTGCTAGGCCAGCCATGTGTGATGTGGTGCATGACCTTACGTAGAGTGGGGTCAGCTGAAGTTGCCTTGCTAACATCGGTAGCGGATAATGGCAGATCATGACAAGGATCAACATTGACAGACTTAATGTAATCCGTGAGCTGTTGTTCCTGAAGCACAGAAAGCTGAACGGGCAAACGCGATAGACAGTCAGCAACAACATTATCAGTACCATTGATATGCTGAATGGAATATTGATACTCGGACAAAATAACAGCCCAACGTTGTAGACGTGCTGTAGTGACAGACGGAAGTTGATCATGTTCACCAAAGATCTTCAATAACGGTTTGTGATCGGTGCGAAGGGTGAAGTGTCGTCCACACAGATACTGTTTAAGACGCTTCACGGCAAATACAATGGCAAGAGCTTCTCTCTCAATTTGCGCATAATTTCTTTCAGCAGCAGCCAAAGAACGAGATACATAAGTAACAGGACGCAAATAACCTACTTTGTCTGGTTGTAGTAGGCAGGCACCGATTCCCGTGGGAGACGCGTCGCACTCCAAGATGAGTGGTTTCTTGGGATCATAGTGAGCCAGTACGTTTGACGATGCTAAGATCTCCTTGCACTGGATGAACGCATGTTGACACTCGGGAGTCCAGTTCCATTCTGTACCCTTCTGAAGAAGACGGTTCAAGGGATACAACAACTGCGAAGCATTAGGGATAAATCGACCATAAAAGTTGACCAGCCCCAAGAAGGAGTGTAGTTCTGACGAGTTAGTGGGCTGTGGTGCTTTGGCTATAGCAGATACTTTGCTAGGATCAGCATGCAGCCCCTTGCTTGATACAATGAAGCCTAGATACTTGACACTCTCCTGGTTCAGCTCACACTTCGCTTTCTTCAGCTGTAATCCTGCCTTCTCAAATCTGTCTAGAACTTGACGCAACCGGGTATCATGCTCTGCTTGGTTGGTTCCCGTGATTAAGATGTCATCAAAGTACACGATGACCCCATCGATGCCAGCTAAGATCTGCTCTATAGTCTTTTGCCAGATTGATGGTGCTGAGGAAACGCCAAAGGGCAATCTCGTGAAAGCAAATAACCCTCGATGGGTTGCAATGACGCACAGTTTCTGACTGTCTTCGGACAATGGCAACTGAGTGTATGCTTGGCTGAGATCAACTTTTGAGAAAACAGAGGCCCCTGCAATGCTGGACAATAAATCACTGGGATTTGGAATAGGGTGTATGTTGCTTTCAATATGCTGGTTGATGGTGACTTTAAAGTCTGCACAGAGTCGTATAGAACCATCGGCTTTCTTCACAACAACAATAGGAGAAGCCCACTCTGAAGATTCTACCGGAACTAGAACACCCTCCTTAATCAAACGATCTAATTCAACATCAACTTGCGGTTTCATGGCGTATGGCAACGGTCGAGCTGAGTAACACTTGGGAATTGCCCCGCTGGCAATGTGGATCACCGCCTCCGAGTCATGGATCTTGCCCAGACCACCTTCAAAAACGCTTGGGAACTCGTCTAATACAGACTCAGAATCAGACGTACGTGGAGCAGAAGAGACAGAACAGATGGTATGCCAATCCAAACGTATGTTAGACAACCAATTGCGGCCGAACAACGGGGTGGTGCCCTCTTTGACCACAAGAATCTTCTCCTGGACATGTTGCGACTGGTACTGTACATCGACACAGGCCTCCCCCACAACAGTTAAAGGTGCCCCCGAGAAAGTACAGAGTGCAGTCTTGGTGGCATTCAGTTTGACATCTCCCCACAACTGTTTCCAAAGAGCTTCAGGAATGATCGATAACTGTGCCCCTGTGTCAAGTTCCATGTTGAGGGGTTTCCCGTTTACATGTACATCAACTCGGAATTTGCCAGTGTGACTGTGCTGGGACCCAATATTGGCAATCATGAAATCTGAGCTTAGAGCTTCATCACATTGGTCAGGCAGTGAGACATGGTGAGTACCAGCATCCCTAGGTTGGGCATGCGATGATCTACTTGCATTACTACTACTAGTACCACCTTGAGATCTACAACAAACAGCATAGTGTCCAACCTTACTACACGTGTTGCATCGGCGGCGGCGTGCTGGGCAATCGTCAGCTGACGACGCGTGACCCACCCTGTTGCATCGCGTACATGGGGAGCGCGTTGACGATGTCGTAGAGCGTACGGCGTCGACGCTGCTCGGGCTGGCACTGACGCTTGACGCTGCCGTAGCCATAGATCTTACTTGAATGCCTGACGATTCTCGCACGCGAAACTTTTCCAGCAGCACCTGTAGGGTAAGGTTACTCTTGGACAGAAGAGAGCGTTGCAGATCGACGTCAATACAAGTGGCAATCATCTGATCACGAATGTGCTCGTCATCTGCAGCAAATGCACAAAGTTTGGCCTGCGTACGGAGTCTGGTGCAGAATTGCGTGGCATTCTCTCCTACATTGGGTGACATCTGTCTGAAAACGTGCCGCTCAAAAGTTGGATTGACTGTGTATGCGAAATGCTCATCAAGCATTCTTACCGCTTGTTTGAAAGCATTGTCATCCCCTGGTCTATCTGCCTGCGCAACCGGGTCTTCGAGATCTTCAAAGATCTCCTGAATCTGTAGGCCAGCCTTGTGCAACAGCATGCTGCGCTGGCGATCTGGGTCGGTGATGTCCTTGGCTTCGATGAAGTACTGGAAAGCCCGCCGCCATTTCTTCCAACGCTGTTGGACCTCACTTGCGTGCCCACTGATAAGGAACTGGTCGATGGAGTCCTTGGACATGGTTCGGAAATTTCGTCGCCAATGTTGTAATTCAACGTTCTGCACACGATAGGAACTAAGGCACTCACAAAACACAACGGGTAATAGGTTTATCCATTACTTTACCATAGTATAGTAGAAGACTGGAGAGTCCTTAGACTCGAGCGGAATGAATGAAAATGATAGCAAGCTCAGGTTATATGCGCTCCAAGCGTTTGGTGCAACCGGATGCAAAGTTAGCGTACAGCGCATGCGGACTTTAGATCTCTAGATGTACGCTACAGAGTGGCGTGCAGTTTTAGAGCAGCGAGCACAATTTTATTCTAGAGATGTACACAGAGCGCATGCGTCAAATTCAGTTTGGGAAAGGTTGCGTGTGAGCAACATGCAAATAAATTATGGGCGAAGACTTTGTAAACAACAGCCTTCGCTTGCAGCAGGAAGATAACTAATGTTTGTAAACATGAAGTATTATCATACCTTGCAAGAAAGGTGTCTCGGAGTGACCTAGACCTGGAGAAGTCAGGTACGTGATTTATGTATTTGCACAACATATTACTATCGTGAATATTTGAAGTATGCTCGAGAATTATTGAAATGTCTAACTATAACATCGCTTACGAGCATTCTCAGCAAAAGGCTCGAACGTATTGCCCTTGATCAACTGCTGCGAGACTTCGACCTGTATACCTGTCTACACGATCATCAATTTGGCTTCCGGCCCCAGCGATCAACAGTGCAGGTCATGACCTTGGCTGTAAATGACTGGACGTTAGCTAGAGACGTGGGTCATACAACCATTGTCGCATTTGTTCCCGTAGCTATGCAAAAGACGCTACTTCAGTAAAGTCTGGCGCTAGCCAGGGTCCACACAGCTTTAATTCCGTGTTTGTTTGTTTGTGCCACTGACATGCCTGGAGCTATCCCATACCTGTCCCGTACCGTACCATCAAACACAACCAGCCACAATATTCAAATAGGGCTTTCAATGCTAGATCATAACGTGAAGCAACTTGGAAGAATGAGTATGTATGCGAAGTGTATCGGGGGAACGCATGCAGGGCGATAGTGTGGGTTCGAATCCCAGATTATGTCTTGAAAAAAAGGAGAAATGAAAAATTTATAACATCCCTATGCTTTTTTGCCTAGGTCATCAAGGTAGTAGGCGGTGTCGTATTACCCTCGAATGGAAAGAGAAAGTTTGACGTAGCCAATCAATGGAAACATTTTCCATCAGCTCTAATAACATGCATGATGAGCTAGGCAAACAAGCATAGCATAGGGCCCTGAGCTTCCAAGCTCTCTCGTTGACTTAAGCAAGGCCTTTGATCGAGTTGTGCACCAGGAACTTATCTTTATTATTATTATTTGAGGGATTCCCCAAAGGCCGAAGCCTAAATCAAGGGGGTCTCCGAGAATAAATATACGTGTACAATACGTGTACAATAGGGTGCAATCTCTACTTTGCACAACTTTAAAAGCATTCATAGTTCTGCCCTGAAATGGTTCGCTTCCTACCTGAACGGCCGGTATCAGTGTGTATGTATAGCCTCTGGAACATCATCTCTTCTCCCCGTAACCCGAGGGGTTCCGCAGGGAACAATCTTGGGTCCCACCCTTTTTAACATACATGTGCGACTCTTACCTGACCTGGCTGCAGGGAGTGGTGCAAAGCTGCTAATGTTTGCCGATGACAAGACTTTGTACGCTTCCTCACGAGATCCAATAGTATGCGCCGATGTCGTGTCCTCGGCTCTCGCTAAGCTACACAGTGAACTAAGATCACTGGGCATGAGCGCTAATGTTGACAAAACCGTGGTCATAAGGATCTTGCCGAAGAATGCTCCTGACGAGTGACGTACAAGGACCAGTTCTTGTTGAGCTGGGTGGCAGAGCATCCCTTATGTGGAATGCCCTCCCTGCTCACTTGAAGCGAAGTGAAGACATTAGATCATTTTCTACAGAACTTTTGCATGCTCTAAATGACGACAAAATTGACTATATCCCTATACCCCCTCCTTTTTGAAAATGTATTTCACCAAAAAAATAAGGCTTGGAATTTTTTAAACATGAATATCGACGAACTTGCCGCTTCTGTTCATGTCTTGCCCATGCCCTGCTCTAGTAATGGTTCATGAATCCGCCCAGTCCACATTCCTTCTCCGGTTTTTTCCGTTTTTCTTTCCTTTCAGTTGCATCTTCCTTTCTGCTCTGTTTTACTTTCTCTTTTCGTTCGTCCCTCTTGATATTTGTACTGGTTGAGGCAACGAACTGAAATAATAAAAACCAAACCAAACAAAAACAACGACGACGACGACGACGACGACGGCGACGACGACGACGACGACGACGACGACGACGACGACGGCGACGACGACGACGACGACAACAACAACAACAACAACAACAACAACAACAACAACAACAACAACAACAACAACAACAACAACAACAACAACAACAACATGAGACTCGGCTAGCGATCGAGCTTTCCACATCCGTGGGAACGCCACCACCCTCAAGGATCAAAACGCAGATGCATCTCCTAAAGCCTTGGGAGGTGAGTAGATCAGACCCACCACCAAGTGGTCAGACCGAAAATCTTATTCGCTGCATCCATGCTTCCCTCGTGCCAGGCCACGAGTTCCCAATTATCTGTGGGTCGCAGCACGGCTGCAAAAATCCTTCCGCTTCCAAGTAGGACTTGCACCTGGTACACTCTGTTTCGCAATCATAGTCTTAGACCATCCCACTATGCCTGCAGAAGCCCAGGACGTATTTTCTTGACCGTTTACATGAGAAAATAAGCGGGGGGGGGGGGGGGGGGGCAGGGATAGGGCTAGTTCAGCTCGGGACAAGATGTTCAAGCCCGCCACATCACGTAAACGTGGCTCTAAAATGACTGGGTGACAGATCAAGTCTTGCTTATTGTTAGCCTATGGTTGAAAAAGCCCGAGCTTATTTTTTCTCATGTAAACAGCCCCTCGGCAGTGCTTCTTAGCTTTTTAAAGGGGAAGTATAGCCTAAAATCAAATGTTCACCGGTTGTAGTTTGCAACCCGCGTTTGGCCGAGCGGTTGTGGGCTTGCCTGCGAATCACAAGGTCCCCAGTTCGAAACCCGCACTGGGAGCAGGGAGCATGTACTGTGCTAGAAAATGCAGTGATGCATGCATGAATCACTTTACATGCAATGAACAGCGCGAGCACCCACGGTCAACTGGGTACTCACTAATCGGAGTGAGGGTAGAATGGTAACATGGAATCAGGATGCAGTGAACGAGGTTCACCCCCCCCCCCCCCCATGTAGGGCATTGGTTGTGAGAGTTACCACCTCACCCTCGCCGTTAGGCGCTGCATCTGCCACCTTGGTATCACAGGCATGGTGGTGGCCTGGCACGAGCGAAACTTCCTTAGCTGGTTGTGTTTCTGAACACAACTGTTATAGAAAGGAAAAAGACACTATGGATACGAGTTAAGAGTAACTCTCCATCACTGTAACATGATACTTTACTTAACTTTTAAAACTCCTATCCATAGTGTCTTTTTCCTTTCTACATTTATTTTTGGCTCAACATCCGAGTTACAACTGTTATACTATACTGAGCGTATAGCCGGTTGTAACGCGGACGTGCGAACTTTACTTGCCTTATTATCTCTAATAAGAGCCTGGGGCTCTTATTATTATTATTACGAAGTAGTGGTTGCGACTTCGGCGATGATTTGTAAGAAAGGGTTTGCTCCCCACACTGGAGCTGGCGCTATTCCGCCGACTTTACTTGACACTTGACTGACTCACGACTGCTATCCAGAGCACACGAGAAGTCCATCGAACCTTCGACTTGGCAAACCTGCAAGAAAGCACCACTCCCTGCTCAATACACAGTGTTTCGGGGAATTCACCCCTCATCAGTTGAGCTTGAGTAGGCTGAGGAAGATTGTGCTTGAAGAGCACCACTTATATAGTGCTCTCCAGGCACAAACATCACCAGGGATACAAACTCACCGTCTCACCGTCTCACCGTCAAGGAGCGACACTGACTCACGCTGATATCTGGTGTTCATGAGGTGTTTGTCGCGCTGAAAATGGAGCGTCTCTGTAAGTTTGTATCCCTGGTGATGTTTGTGCCTGGAGAGCACTATATAAGTGGTGCTCTTCAGGCACAATCTTCCTCAGCCTACTCAAGCTCAACTGATGAGGGGTGAATTCCCCGAAACACTGTGTATTGAGCAGGGAGTGGTGCTTTCTTGCAGGTTTGCCGAGTCGAAGGTTCGATGGACTTCTCGTGTGCTCTGGATAGCAGTCGTGAGTCAGTCAAGTGTCAAGTAAAGTCGGCGGAATAGCGCCAGCTCCAGTGTGGGGAGCAAACCCTTTCTTCTTCTTATTATTATTATTTCCGTAATAGCTCTACCCGCGCTACTATTAGAGACTGTGCTACTATTGGAGACAGTGCTTTTATTTCTTCAAAGCTCCACTATCAAGCAACTCCAGTCCATAATTATAGGCATAAATGGATCATATCCATACTGAGATTCTAAACCCTTAACTCAGGAATACTGTCATAACTGATGTTTCACAATAACATGGACACCAGGAAGGAAGTAGTAGACCGAAACCTCCTTACAAATAATTATGTGCTTGGAATTTTTGTTTCTTTCCATTATAGTTATGTGTTTTTTCCAAATTTCCAACATTCCCTGTACTATCCTGAAGAGAAGGGAAAGAAAACGTTTGATAGAAGGAAGTGTCTACTTGATTGTGTGGATTTGCGTCTTTGCATGTGAAGGTACAGATTACGAAAGTATTATCACCGCCTCCAAACTACCGCTTGGCATTTTGTACTACTATTTTATATGCCGTCAATATGTTTGTTGCATACTCCAATTGTGGCCCGCGACTGTGCTTTTATTATCTCAAACAACCCTCACCCCGGGTCATTATTGGACACCTGTTCTTTAATTTGAGAGAAAATATTTTGTAGTAGAAAAACTTTGTAGTTTTCGGGGTGCCGAGTCGAATGTCTTGGTCCGAGGAAGCTGAGACGCTCCCTTCCTCCTTTATTTAAGTTTATTCCCGTAGCTATGCAAAAGACGTTACTTCAGTAACGTCTGGCGCTCGCCAGGGTCCACGCAGCTTTAATTCCCGTAGCTATGCAGAAGACGTTACTTCAGTAACGTCTGGCGCTAGCCAGGGTCCACACAGCTTTAATTTGGTGTTTGTTTGTTTGTTTGTTTGTGTCACGCCTGGAGCTGTCCCGTATCTGTCCCGTATCTGTCCCGTATCTGTGACTACAAAGGCTCTACAGGATTGTACATAACAGCTGGCCACAATATTTGCTGGCTCCCGTAGCTGTCCCGTACCGTACCAATATTCGTCGTATTATGTATACGACTCCATGATGTAGAGGGAGATTTGGAAAGAAATAGGGAGACGAGGAGGAAATTGAATACGCCAAATAGGTGATAAGATGCGTCAGCAAAAACATACTTTGGAAGAGAGATCCCGTCGTCTCAAAAATAAGCTTTAACGAGCGATTCAGCGCCGGTCACAGGAAACGTCGGAAGAGAGATCCCGTCGACTCCAGAACGCCCGTGATTGGCAGAGTCTGTGCCGGTCCCA